CATAACTGAGATTTTCGAAGGAAATTTTCGATAAAATGCGCTTGCAATGTTGTAAATCTCCAGTCGTGACGTCGCCGATGTCCTTATTCCCCACGAATGTCTCTTCCTTATTTGGACGAGGCTGCTAGACTTGTTGCATATGAATTCCTGAGGAATTTCCGGTTGTCGGGGGCAAAAACTGGGGGCTTGGGAAGCACCTGCCACTATTTTATGGAAAATTATGAAGGCCTAGCCTGGATTTGGGACAATTATGTAACCCAATAGCAGTAATAACCGAGTTTTTCAAGATTATATCTCTTAAAATTGTAAAATCACTACGCAATTTCAAATTTCGCGCGGATTTGCCTTTAAGTTTTTTTGGAATCCCCACCAGAGGGCACAATTTTCACTCAAAAAGTGAAGAAATCGATTAGTTTCAAACCGATTTGAAAAATTTTGAAAATAGAAAATTTACTGTACTTTCATATAAAAATGTTTCAAATTACGAACAGATTATTTTCGAAATATAAAAAAATAGAGCGAATTTAGTGACTCACTGTATATTTTTTTATTAAACGAAAGAAAGAAAAATTTCTTTTCTAAGTCTGAGCTTTCCAAAACGGCCTGAATTGAATTTATTTCTTCTAATTTCAGCTTTTTCAGTGATTTTTAAGTTCTCTTGTGTTGTTTTTTTTTTGTACAAATTTTGCCAGATTTGCTTTCCTGGAGATTTCTCTGGATTTTTTAGATGTACAAAAAATGTTTGCTAACTTTTTTCAATTTTTTCATATTGGGATTTTAAACGAGATTGAGATTTTCAAGGATTTACAAATGCTGGAAATTTTTATTTCATGTTTTTAAAATTGCTTTACGATCAGCTTTGAGAAGTTACGTCTTCATTCTTTGTTTAGTTAAAGATAAAAGTTTTATGGTTTTTGGATATTTTTAAAAATATTTGAGGATTTTTAGGGATTTTCAAGGATTTATGAGCAATTTTGAGGTCTTTATCACCAAGGTTTATAAAGAATACAAGCATACCCAAAAATAGAGCGAATTTAGTGACTCACACTGTATATCTAGTTTTATTAGACGAAAGAAAAAAAATTGCTTTTCTAAATCTGAGTTTTCCAAAAAAGCCTGATTTGAATTTATTTCTCTTAAAAATTTAATTTTAATATTTAAATAGTTAAAAATCGAGTGCAACTCTTGTTCTCTAGATTGTAATCAAGAAACTTTGAATTGTTTGCACAATTAGTGGCTTGTTTGAGCATCATTATTGCCTCTGAGGTCAAGTTCTTGAGTCGACGAACTTTGCTTCAAGTTCTTCATTAAAAAAAAAGTACATTGCTTAAATGCTTCGATTAGTTTGAAACTGAAGCACATTTTATGTTTTTTCTTCTTTTTACTACAGTCATTTCCATGTTTTAGTAATAAATTATTACGTTACGGAGATTACACATAATTCAGATTCATTCTCATTTTGATTGAGTTGTTTGACAAGTAATTAAGTGATATTAACGTGTCTCCTGCTGACGTGAACCACTATCTTATCTGGAATGAGACGTCACAATAATCACCACAAAGATTACTATTTTTTGCGAATTGTAGAGATTTTAAGAAAATTTGGCTACACTTTAATAACTAAAAGTAATTTTATGGAATTGTGGGGAATTTTTAAGTAATTTTGGTTTTTAGGTCGAGGAATTAAGTGTGTCCACTAGTGATGTAAAACCTGTATTGTTTAACACAGTTTTAGCTAGAATAAAACGTCATAATACCGCAAAATACTCGTTTTATCTTACTTTCATATACGTACAATGATTTTTATAATTTTCAAGAATTTCAAAATTTTTGGAAATTTTGGATCCTGATTTTTGATGAGATGAGTTTTGAGAAATTACGTCTTTCGTTGTCTATCTTGGGCTAAAGATAAAAGCATTTTTAGGAATTGTCAAGGATTTATGAGCAATTTTGAGGTCTTTATCACCAAGGTTTATAAAGAATACAAGCATACTCAAAATTTTTTTGTGTGTATAAAGTTAAAATTATTTTTCATGACTTTCTATTAATTTTTTAGCGATTTTTGTGAAATTACCAGAAATTGTCCAGGCTTTT